GCGTGTCAAAGTACGCACAAATGCATACGAGAAAAACTGATAGTGATTGAATTGGAGAGTTCACACGCACGCAAGGACATATGAAACACAAAGAAGAAAAAAGTATGTTATTCATAGATGAATATAAAAATGTCATTCTCAATCACAATTGACATAATATGAGATGGGCGGACTGACAATCAATTATTATATACCAGTACTACTAAAGTTAAGGAAAAACGAGACCCTGAAGAAACTTTCAAATTTGTAGTTACATATACAATCAGGCTATTTTTCTCTTACTCGTTTCTTTTCTTCCGTTTCATCTGTTCGACCCGACCTTATGTCGATAATTAAGTCGTCAGAAAAGAGTTGCATCACACATCACATCCCGTTCGCAGTCCATTAAACAGAACTATACTACTACTAGTGGTAGTAGTAGTAGTAGTAAGAGCAGTAACAACAGCAATACTTTTATATGTTTATGTACTACCGCATTGAGCTCAGTCATTGAACAGTCAATCAGTCAACTTTGGCACCGTCATCGGCAAATGATGATTGATTCTTTTCTTAATATCTGCTTTTCGTCCTCATCTGTTTTCTTTCCTTTCATAACCATCAATCGTCCTACTTGACTTGTATTTACACATTCTGAATAATCACACTGCTCTCATTCTCTTAAGTTGTTCTTCCTGCTGAGAATGAGCTAACCAGTCAGTTGTCTGCATAGAAAACAAATGAATTTTCCAATGCAATAAGTAATTACCTTATAAATGCATTTTATACATCAGTGTCAAAAGATATATGGAGAAGAAAAAATGGAAAATGTCCAAGCATGTTGATGCTGGTCAACATAATGCATAGACCATCTGCCTCCGAACACACACACGAACAGGTAGTTTATATATATATATGTATGTAAATCAGATGGTGGACAAAGCGGCAGTTTTGATCTTTCTCATCTTTAATACTACGATCGAACGGATGCCACTGATTGTTGGGCACCGAAAGAGACCAATTGGCAATTATTCTTTGACTAGGTCGATTAATCAACTATAATATCTATATGTTTTCAATTGTCTTTCACTTTTTTTCTTTTGAAGTATAGGTGTTATTCGTTTTAACTGTATGTATAATAAGTAGTACACCGGAACATGTATGCAAAGGGTCATTCATGAACAATTAGACCATCTGCTCAATAAGCATTATTTCGAGACAAAACTTACTTACCTTTATTGTTAATAGATTCTCCAATTTTTGAAAGGTCATCTGAATGATGATGATGATGATGATGATGATGACGTTTTTATATTTCAACAGGGTCTAGTGAGTTGTAATTCTAGCGAGTGAATGTACACCGCAATCGTTATGAAATGAAGAGAAGGGAAGAGAGAGTGTGTGTGTGAGAGAATGAAGCATGAAGAACGACAAGGGAAAAAGAGAAACGAAGAGAACATAGTTCAATCATGATCGCGTTGTCGTCAGAGAAAAAAAGGGATAATCATTATCGTTCGTCACAAGCCTGAAATTATTCAATCAATGTTCTGATCGTGAAGAGAAAATAACAACAACAACGACAACAGCATTAGCAATAGCGAAGCATCGACCTTGTCGCATGAAACACATATATATACACACACACACACATGCCCTATGCAGTTCATTGATTTGTAGACAGACATAGAGACTAACTGACGAAGAGTGACATGCATTGAGCTATGCAATTTATATATATAATACATCATATAGGGAATCAACGCCTAATTCCAAGGTCCAAGCTTACTTTCAACAGTCAAGTACTTCTGCCAATATTTTTAGACTATTTTTGTTACTAATACTAAAATGTTCTGCTTATTGCACTAGTCCAAATAAATAAATAAATAAATAAAAGCAAATATGATGAATAAAAAGCTTAGTTGAACATTGTATAGGCATGTGCGTTAAATGCTTTTAAATAATACTACTGCTCGAGGCATAAATGAAACACCCACCGGGAAATAGGTGTTTTACGTTTATATACATAATCATCGTTCGAGGTTAAGAGTGTAATAGAAGATTATAAAACAATATTTCCTTTTGCTTTTATTCTTTTTTTATTTTAGTGTTTTTTTTTTATTTTATTAAGTTCGATAAGTGCGTTTTGTAAAGAGTCGTCGTTGTCATTATTATTTACAAGAAAACACCAATAATCCAATTTCGATTGTTCTTATATGCATTTTTTTTTCTTTTTTTTTCGTTAAAAAGAAAAAAAAGAAACTTACACGATCTGAAGCCATAGTATCATCAATTGCGTAATTCTCTTAAGAAGTAGTTTTTCCTCCGGTTAGGATAGTAATTTGTCGCATTGCATGTCTGTTACTGATAGATAGGTAGAAAGATACGTTTTGCATTATTTTTCTCTCTTGAGCGAACATAACATACAGTTGTAAGAATGACCTCGAAACATAATATATAAACACAAAGGAATCGTGTGTGTGTGTGAGAAACAGAAGAAAAAATTTAATCTACAAAACACACATTTCTTTACTTTCTTATTTTCATAGAGTATTTCTTTTTCTTATTATTATTCCATTTAATCTTCGTTTAATATCGATTCGACAACCTCCTATGAGTATATATGCCGCGCGTGTGTACTTATTGAGCCTAGATACATGTGAACATGATCGCAAACATATATATTTATATAAATGTAAAGGAAAACGATGATCGATGTAGAGCATCTGTCTGACATAGTAATAGAATCTAATTGTTATAATGACAAAAAAAAATGAGATAATCAACATAAACTTCAATTTTACAATTATGTTCCTTTATTAAATCTAGAATGATAAGTTTTTTTTTTTTTTATTTAAGACTCATCACATTTAATTAATTTGTCCTTGAGTTTCGATAAATATGTAAAAGATGATAGATTACCATCGTGACAAATACGATTTTTATTATTTTCTCGATTGTTTATCATTTCATCATCAAATCCACTAGCTGTATCATGTGTATGAATATATGATTGGATATTTGTTGTATGAATTTGTTGATAAATTTGTTGTTTTTCAAAATAATTCAATGGTTCTCGTTCATCATCTGTACGTGGATTAATATAAAAATCCCATTTATATGATGTAAATAAACGTTTATTGTATTCAAAAACTATTTCGTGTTGTTGTTTTTTTTTACGTTCAATTAATAAACGTTTAGCTTCAATTTTTTGTTGTTCATTATTTAAACATTGTTGATGATATATTTTAATAGATGTCAATATATTATTAGTTTCTTGATCAATCAGTTTTTGACGTGTCTTGTTACGTGACCAATTAATTAAATAGTCTACAATAATTTAAAACATAATAATTATTTTATTTTTCAAATATAATCAAAATAATGAACATTGTTGATTTGCTTGTACAGAAAAAAAAAAGGAATCCAACAAATTAACTTTGATTGACATGCTGACCTTTCTCTATATGGTACTATCATGCGATCGGAAGTAATGTATTTCCGATTAGATCAAGGTGTATGTATATCACAAAGGAATATATTTTTCTTTCGCAATCATATTCGAAATTTTCAAAAAGAAATAACAATTTATATTATTTCAGGTTGGGAATGAAAACTTTACTCACTTGCAATAAATTCGATTGCATCTTCTGGTCGATAGATTATCACATAAGCAAGTGCATAGCTAAGAGGTTCACTAATACTTAAACATAAATAGTGAGTAGATGAATTATTGAACGATGATGATATGTTGATTTGATCAGAGTCTACTGTAAAGACTTGAGTATTGACAGATTTTGATAAATCGACAAGATCGCTTGTAGCATGCTCGTCTTTTGAATTCATTAATAATGCCAAAGATAAATAAGACTTGTTAGTTTTTGTTTTTTTTAATTTATGATGTCATGAGTCATCGTCATAGTTTCTTTTATAGAATACGAGATTAATTCTATTGATTTAAATTGACATGAGGTTAACGAGAAAATATGCAACGATCGACATTTTTTATGTTTACACGATTGCAATAAGACCATGAGTAAGCGAAGTTTCATTGATTTGTTTTTTTGTATGTTCAGTTCTCAAGTGAATTTGATGAAGAGAATGGTATCAAAATGATTTACGATGATTTTCATAGTGGTAGAGCAATACTAAATTTAAGATCATCTAGTCGGTTTTCTTTTGCTTTTTATCGAATATCAGTTTCAATAAAATTATCACAAATGAACTAACGAATTCTCGCAATTTTCTTTTGTTTTTTTGTTGAATCTCAATGTATTCTTAATATCATTTACTTGCTCAAGATCATATACATTTCTTCATCAAGTAATCGACAATAAACATTATAATGTTTAGTACAAAAAGCTTGTGAATAGTTTTCACAATCAAATATGTTTTTAGTCGACGATGTGATGACCTTGTGAAGATTGAATAGACTTTCCTGTTGTTTTCGGTTATTATACTACATATGTATCTGTACTTCCAAAAATAGCTGTTCATCTTCCGAACTAGAAAATCTACATAAATGATTGGTGCCATCATTGCTTAAATCTAAAAATATATTGTTTTTTTATCGAATGAATGCTTATTTTTCCATTAAATATAATAATATTTTGCAGTTAAAATAATGGAAAATATTTACATATGTAATATTCTTTATTAATCTCAAATAATAAAGTAAAGAAATTTATTTCGATAGATCTATGACATGAATGAATACACAGAAGGTATCGGATGAGTCAAGCAAAACGAAATACATTCTCATAAAGATCAAGAAATGCAATACAAAGTATATAGATTCTTCTCTTTTAGAGTTAATAGATATGCGTTCGTCGTCGAGTAGTAACCTACACGAAACGAGATTATTAAGAAAAAGAATTGATTTTAAATTAAAATGGCATTTATTTTCTTATGTCATAAAATATTGACTTATCTCATATCACTAAAACAACATATAAGTAAAACGTTTGATCGTATCAAATAACTAACAGTAAAACGAAATACCGAGCATCAAGCATATTAAGAATAGTATGATGTTTTTGCTTTTATTTTTTATTTTCGTTATTGTTCATGGACAATTATCTGTAGACGAATTATTCTTTTTTAATTCGAAATATACATTAAATGGTCATTGTAATAATTTTCAATATACATTTACGAATATTCAAATAAATTCGAATAATTATAATCAAATTATTTTAAATTGTAATTTGTCAACTATTATTTTTCGAAATAAAGACTATATATCGTCATCAATTTGTCCTAATGATGAAGATTATTTTCAAAATTTCTTTATACGTTTTCATCATTTATCACAAACATTTATTCAAGTAAATCAACTTCATTTACATGGTATTGAACTATGTTCACTTGATGATCTTATTCGAAGTAGTTATAGTGAATATTCATATTATCGTTCTCAATGGGCTTTATTAATCAATATAGAAAACAATAATAGACAAGAAAAATATCATTTAGCAATAGCTACCAATGGTAATATGACATTTATTTTATTTATATTATCAAATGAATATGATAAAACATTAGTAGAAAATGGTATTGAACTTATTTTTCCTAATGAAAATATTTTTAAATTTAAACAATCATCTATTAATGTTTGGCGTATTGATCAAGGTTATGTACGTAATCCAAGTTCTCTAAAAAGTTCTATTTATCAATTATCAAAGTCAAAATTTACTCTTTTTAATAATGAAACATTTTTTCTTTATGGTACACAAATATCTAATTCACGTCGATTTAGTGTTTCAATTGATGAAATACTAGTTAAATGTAATTATGATTATATACTTCAATGTACATTTCCCATATTACCTTGGAATGTACTTGATAAACATCAACCTATGTTAAGAGTTATTTATAATCGAGAATATATTTTTAATGCTACTTTAACATTAATTCCACGTACTCGTCTTGATCATGTTCCAACTAATCATAGTCTCACTGATATAGGAACATTTAAAGTCAATATTGATGAAAAACTCTGCGCGTAAGATGAAATTAGATTTTTCTTAAAATTATTAGAGTTAATTTCTTTTGTTTTTTGTTTCTAGAAGTGAATCATTGAAATCATTGTTCACTTTTATTATTCATCTATGGAAAGAAGACATGAATAGTACTATACGATATCAAAAATTTGAAAAGAAGGATATACGATCGGTTGATTGTAATAAAGCTGCTGAAATTGGTCAGGAAATTGAAAAAATTATGCATCCGATATCACTTGATGATATTATATCAATGAATGTTGATCTTACACATCAATGGTATGATCATCAAAATTGCCGAGCAGAAAACACAAGAATTACATTTAATTGAAAATGTAAATTTTAAAATAAAACAACTTACTTAAATATTCAAGCTCTAAATTTATCTATAAAGAAGCGATATAATAAGGACAATATTTAATTTAAAAAACATAAATATTAACTGAACATTATAAATAATAGAATTTACTGCTTTGGCTCATTTTCAAGATCAAACTAATTGAAAATAACGATTAAAAAAGTAGATTTAAGGAATTATAACTTGAAACGTAATGATATTCATGAAAAATGAATGATACTGTTAGAATTTCTAACGCCTAATATTTAAAAAGTTTGCAGCTTTAGTTCTTATGAAATAACGACCAAGAAAATATCTTTCATAACACATCTGATTATTCTAAAAGAGTCAATTTTTCAGTAAAAGATCAAACTTTTCTTGTTCATTTTTGACAGAAAATTCTATTTCTAAATAATTATATGATAAGTCAGTAGTTTTTAAGATACTGAAAATGTATTTAGAACACATTATCTCTTTTTGTTTAACTAAGTAGTATGATTTCTAGTATATGGCTTCGATTGAATTTCGTCAGATCCGTTGTTCAAAATCTACTGAAATTCAACTGAAAATATATATTTCTTGTGGACTATCGGTAAAATCCCATAGGACAATGAGACATAGTTTTATAATAAGATTCGATAGAAGCCTATAAAGGTGTACCAAGCTATAAATAAATTTATCAATTCTCAAGACATATTTTCGCTGCTCCTTCAACAAAAATTGTCAGGTATCAGACTTTGGATCAGAGTGTGAGTATGAATATCGGTGGTTCTTCTTTCTCTCCACAATCATATTGACACTAATGCCTTTAACCAATTTAAATATCATCTCTTGGTTATGTATTAAGTACTTGGACACTTTTTGATAGTAGTTTGAAATATCTATAATTTTTTAATAATGATTGAAAATAATATTGATGGTTTCAACACTTACATCATTCGATGCAAGTAGATTCGTTTCACATATTTCGATGAATAAACTGAGACAAGACTATTTATTCCAGTAGTTAAAGTGAGGTTCCATAGACGCGATAGAATTAAAATCTACGATACGCCTAAGAGACGATTACTGTTATAAAGAGATATTTTAATAACTAATAGGCTAGGAACAATAATTGTTGTAACATACGAATCTATCGATATTATAAGGAAATAAAACAGTAGTTGTTCCGTATGATAGGGCGTGCATGTTTGTGGATGTGACGTGTGAATGTGGGTGATGACTTTCTCTACACCCACACCTACACCATCATGGAAATGGTCTTTTGTGTGCAGAAATCACAATTTATGTTCCTCAAGGTACATTGAAAATTGTTGACATTGAATGCGAAAAGGATTTTTATCCTTGTGTGGTGATCTACTTGAACGATGCTAATAGGATCAATTTTTATGTTACTCATTACAATCATACCATAAGTAGAGAAATATAGGTTTCTTATGAATCATTGTGTCTTATGTATTCTTTCGTTTTGTTACGTATGGAAAAAAAACTTACTGTTGTTTTTGCCATTTATATATGTTCACATATATATTTGATGATAATTTTTTCTCTTTTCAATATTACGTTGTTGCTATTATTAAACTTAGACAATATGTATCATTCTGATTCAAATGTGTAACAATCATTGAACATGTTTATATTATAGAAAAATGAAATAGAATCAAAATCATCGGTTTACGACAAACCAACAGTATACTTGTAAAAAATTAATATGAGAGAATAAATGACAATGAAATCTGTTGAATTATCTTAATTCTTCGCAAATATCTCTCTCAATACTTTTATTTTTATTACCAAGAAAAAAAACAAATGATTATCTAATATTTTTGTCGCTTAATGTATTTCATATATCTTCATTTTCATCGTATAATCGAAAAATGCAGTTTACATTTGATTTCGATGCAATCATTTTCAACTATACACAAGTTTCTCGGGAAAAACTAGATAGAGAACAAACTTTGACATCTTTTAATTTTGGCATATGATTTAGTATGAATAAGAAAACATCCACTTCGTTAATAAGGCATTGAAGTTTTGAGACATTTGAAAATACTTTACATAACTTGTTAAATTCATCAGATTTAATAAAATTATCATTATCGTAGTCGTCGATGTCTAATATAGCAATTATATTATTCAAATATTGACATAATTCATTATTGGTGAGAAATGATATTAAAGTAGACTTTTTAATTGTTATTGATGATAATTGTGGTGCTTGCTTCAGTATCTTTAATAGTATAGTTGATGATATGATATTACGTATACCTCTGATGTTTAAATGTTTGAGCTTAGACAAAATGGATAATCATTTTAAGAGATTCTAAGAATTTTTCTTCAAGTTCTTTAAATAATTTTAATGATGTAGCATTTTGGAAATAATATTCAGAATTACTATCTAAGACATCTAAAAACAGTCATAAATCTGTAACATTCTCAAATTTTTTTGAATTCTTCATCAATGTAATACCATATCTTTTTATATCTGCTTTTAGTATGTATTGCTTCCATAGACGGAGTATAGTATTATATATGAGTACTAAACCTGAATACAAATCACAATTTGTATACCAGTAATGCTATTTATGCCAAAAATCAGTCTGAAATTGATAAAATTTATTCAAAATAACATCATAATCGTCTTCAATCTAAACACCAAATTTAAAGTTGAAAATATCTAAATGATGGAGTGAAGATTCAATTAAATTTTGCCAACATTCATCATTAATTATATTCATTGTATTTTCAACAGTCAGCGTTAAGATTTTCAAATTCGGTGTTTGTTGTAACAGTAATTCAAAGATTTGAAAATTAACACTTGGATAATCCACAACTAATTGTTTTAAATAAATAGCATATGTCCTAGTAACATCGAATTCATCGTTACTTGGCGAAGAATCACTTCATATTTCAATACGTAAATATTCTAGGTTAGGTGTATATTTAAATAATTGCCATAAATCTTCCAAAGAGTATTGATAAACTGTTAATAATGCAATTGTTATTGTTTTATGAATATTGATTAAATTAAAGTTTAGATTTTATGTTAATTTCATTTGAATTTTTGATCAATATAGTTTAGACAAGATTTCATAAGTTTCACCTGTCAATTCATTAGAATAAACATTCGAAAAATCAGATAATAATAATATTATCGAACTAATTTGTCGAATATTATTATAATCTAGATCAATTAATGTTATTGATCGAAGTTGACAAAATTCATTCATTGAAAAAAACGAGAGAAATATATTAAGTTGACCACATATGTTTTTATTCAATAGTTCAAACGGGACAATTTGACTTTTTATTTGCGGATTTAATAACATTTTATGAAAATATTGATCAAATAACGATTTATTCATATGACGAAGACATAGATGCAATGAAATGCTTCGAATAAGTGTATAAAAGCGGTAATTTAATTGATCAAATGAATAAAATATATCTAATGTATTGAGATACTCGAAACATTCAATTAATATTTCATTTGGTAATTGCTCAAACTTCATCGTAACAGATACTCGGTTTATGATAGAAAGAAATTTTCAGTGGTGAATAATAAATATTTAATTTTCTATACAATATAAGAATACTCAAATATCTTTTGTTATATTTTCGATGATTTATTTAATAGATGAAGGGTTGAAATACTAGAATAAGAAGAAAGAAAGTCATGTTCTATTTCTTTTCATTTTACTTATTGAAAGAAACAAAATTACAGAATAGTGATTCTAGGACAAAAACTATTCTTTCATTGAAGTTTTTGACATTTGCTCGATCATCTAGTGAGAGAAATAAACATTTTCTTTTATATTATAATTTTTATTATACAAGAAAATTCTCAGATTATCACCTGAAATATTTTTTATTTGATTTAAATAAGGATAGATTATGTAATCAACTATTTCTTTCCTAAAAGTTAACAAAAGATGGAATATTTAGAAGTTTCAATACATTTGCTTCACTGAAGTTCTTAATTAAATTACAATCAATCCTGCACCTTCTTATCCTTTAAGAATGAATTACGTTCAAAACGTCCATTCCATACAAGTGTACTTGTGCCATAATTTATGGAAGAGTGTGCGTGTGGGTATGTGGATGGAGAGAAGACCTGCAGCTACGCTCATACCCGCACCCACACCCTACGGACTCTGGAACGAAGGTACGCGAATTTATGGATGTCGGTTAAAGATAGACCTTCGCCTATGCTTCTCAGCGCCTCATCATCGAGATCGCATGTATTCGGTTTTATTATCGACGTTTGATTGGTTGGGTACTATCGAACAGATGAAACTTTGTTGACTCTTTCAATATATTTTTCACTCAGCTCAATAACGACTTCCAAATATTTACCATATTCAGTCGTTCACAAAAAAAACAAAATTTTCATCAGACACGTTTATACCAAATGACATAATGTTTGAAAACCAATCAGATCAGCAATATTTTTTTGCACTCATCCTTATTCTCAAGAAAGTCTTAATGAGTTCAATGAATATCCGGCGATTGATAGATGCTGAACATAATTAACGAAAGATATAGAGCAGGGCTAAAGTGATCATATAGTATACTTGCTTAGAATGTCCTTATATAGGCTTACACTCTCATCCTCAAGATTGTGAAGAACAATCATTAACTTCAAGTTCTCTTATATATAGCAGCAAGTAAAATATTAAAATAAATTCATTATGATACAATAGACAAAGTTTCATATGCAGTTTATTCACATTACCAGGGTTCACATTCTTTTAGCAATATTTCGGCTCCAATTCCGTTGATGTCTCCATAAAAGAAGCTAACATCCATAATTTTAAAGGCCGTATATGGCATGATCAGAACTTCTTTTTCTTCTGAAAATACTGAAATCTCTTCGAGATTAAGTCCACTTCTACGATTGCGAACCTCGTAGATACATAAGATCTTGATGGCATTGTTGGAAGGTGAGCTAGCAGCAAATCTGTTAGCGACGTCACGATCTTTGGACGAGGAAAGAAATGACTTTGTCAGAATACGTGATCCTTCCTTATATTCGTCAATGTTATTCTTGTTTATACTCATACCCCGATAACATTTACCGAAAAAACTGAATTGATCCAAAGAAGAATGATTAACAATAATTCCAACAATCGAAGCACAGTATTGATTGACTTTAACTTTGACTGATGCAGTCTCATTCAGCTGTGCTTGTGCCAAATTTAGATTCAATAGCTGATAAAATTCAGTCTCGGCGGTGTATGCTTGAAGAAGATATCTTGGATCTTTTTCCGTTACAGCGCTCTCAAATAAGTAGCTAATTTGGTCTATATCCGACTTGTCCTTTAATTCTTTTTCAATATAACTACGTCGAGCGTCAGATATCAGATTATTCAAATCGGCATCTTTGCTGTATGACTCGAAGAATATTCTTATATGCTTTGCCAAGTAGTCTGCATTAGTTCCAACTAGCATCCATTCAATACCAGGTGAAAAACCTTCGAAGCGTTGACCACGCCTTTGCTCGCCTACAATGCAGTTCAAGAAGATAAAATGTTAAAAGATCTTTTGCAAAACGGCACGTGATTTTCTGAATTCGAGCTATTCTGCAAACTATAAACAGATTTAGGGTGTCGGGTGAGAGTGTGGTTGTCCATTTTCTTTTCAACCATACCCACACCCACACCCTTCTCTTACTATTGCTCACGTGCTTCTATTCCATTCTAAGATTAGTTTCGTACTCTCACTGTACTCTTGTGCTTCAGAATGTACGGAAGTATGTCACTTCTTCCTTCCTAATAAGTCTTCACATGTCGTTCGGACTGGCTCGACAACCGCCGGCCATTTCCAATTGTTTTCATGATGAGCAGTTAACATTGATTATTCTCTTTGTTATCGACATTTTTCAGCGCTAAAACCGACAATTAACCGAGGGTGTGTGTGCTAGTAGATGTTGGTGTGGGTGTGGTTTGGAATAAAGAGATTATCCACATCCACACCCACCCCGAGCATGAATTGCATTAGCTGATAATGGATCAGCTAACAATGTATTTAATGTAACCTGAGCAGGCTGTCCAACAATAGGCACTACGATGTATGAGAGACATAGAGAATGTTTATGTCTGTAGACAAAAAAAAGACAGAAGAAAGAACTTATGCTTAGAAACTAACACACATACAAAGAAGAAGACAAAAGAAAATCTGTCTTTTTTTTGTTTTAGTATTTTCTGCTTTTAAATAGCATTGATTTATAAAAGTTAAACTTACTTGTTTCAAGACCTTCAACACGTATTTTATTTACATCAACACTTGGTTCAATATTAACTTTAATTAGTGATATAGGTATTTCATTATTGCCAAATAGAACACTTATACAATGTACACCAGGTAATTTTGGTGTATAAGCTATAGTAAATGTTCCATCTTCATTATCATCAATAGTCAATGGAACATCTTGATCTTTTGTATCAGTCAATACAATTAATATATCACCTGAAATGAATAAATCAATTTATTTTATTTTATTTATTTTCCTTTTTTGCTATTGATTTTAAAAATCTAATTTAAATATTTTATTAGTAAACTGAGCATGCAAGTTAAGCAAGTTTAAAAACAACAAGGCACAAAAAGCATCTACCAAACAACAGCAACATTCATAAGTATTACAAGTTCTTGTGGTCTATATGTGACATTTATGTCATTATTTTTATCATAGTTTTG